CTAAGAAAAGCTGTCTCGGGTGTGGACCAATCAAATTCAAGGACAGTGCATATTATTATCATCAGAGTTGTCTTTTTTGTTTGCATTTTGACTGCTTGTGTTGTGGTTATTGCAAACATGATGCCTTGAATAAAGGTGTCAGTTTTTATGCCAGTTAAAAGGGTAAAACCTATTCCTATACATAGGGACATTGTTATACAGGGTGACCCAAAATTCAGGACACATAGGGGCATTGTTATACTGGGTGGCCCAAAAGTCAGGACACATACAGTGAGGAAAAAAAGTATTTGATCCCCTGCTGATTTTGTACGTTTGCCCACTGACAAGGAAATTATCAGTCTATAATTTTAATAGTAGGTTTATTTGAACAGTGAGAGACAGAATAACAACAAAAAAATCCAGAAAAATGCATGTCAAAAATATTGTAAATTGATTTGCATTTTAATGAGGGAAATAAGTATTTGACCCCCTCTCAAACAGAAAGATTTCTGGCTCCCAAGTGTCTTTTATACAGGTAACAAGCTGAGATTAGCACACTCCTAAAGGGAGTGCTTCTAATCTCAGCTTGTTACCTGTATAAAAGACACCTGTCCACAGAAGCAATCAATCAAATTCCAAACTCTCCACCATGGCCAAGACCAAAGAGCTCTCCAAGGATGTCAGGGACAAGATTGTAGACCTACACAAGGCTGGAATGGGCTACAATACCATTGCCAAGTAGCTTGGTGAGAAGGTGACAACAGTTGGTGCGATTATTCGCAAATGGTAGAAACACAAAAGAACTGTCAATCTCCCTCGGCCTGGGGCTCCATGCATGATCTCACTTCGTGGAGTTGCAATGATCATGAGAACGGTGAGGAATCAGCCCAGAACTACACGGGAGGATCTTGTCAATGATCTCAAGGCAGCTGGGACCATAGTCACCAAGAAAACAATTGGTAACACACTACGCCGTGAAGGACTGAAATCCTGCTGCGCCAGCAAAGTCCCCCTGCTCAAGAAAGCACATATACATGCCTGTCTGAAGTTTGCCAATGAACATCTGAATGATTCAGAGGACAACTAGGTGAAAGTGTTGTGGTCAGATGATACCAAAATGGAGCTCTTTGGCATCAACTCAACTCGCCGTGTGAGGAGGAGGAGGAATGCTGCCTATGACCCCAAGAACACCATCCCCACCGGCAAACATGGAGGTGAAAACATTATGCTTTGGGGGTGTTTTTCTGCTAAGGGGACAGGACAACTTCACCGCATCAAAAGGACGATGGACGGGGCCATGTACCGTCAAATCTTGGTTGAGAACCTCCTTCCCTCAGCCAGGGCATTGAAAATGGGTCGTGGATGGGTATTCCAGCATGACAATGACCCAAAACACACGGCCAAGGCAACAAAGGAGTGGCTCAAGAAGAAGCACATTAAGGTCCTGGAGTGGCCTAGCCAGTCTCCAGACGTTAATCCCATAGAAAATCTGTGGAGGGAGTTGAAGGTTCGAGTTGCCAAACGTCAGCCTCGAAACCTTAATGACTTGGAGAAGATCTGCAAAGAGGAGTGGGACAAAACCCTCCTGAGATGTGTGCAAACCTGGTGGCCAACTACAAGAAACGTCTGACCTCTGTGATTGCCAACAAGGGTTTTGCCACTAAGTACTAAGTCATGTTTTGCAGAGGAGTCAAATACTTATTTCCCACATTAAAATGCAAATCAATTTATAACATTTTCGACATGCGTTTTTCTGGATTTTTATGTTGTTATTCTGTCTCTCACTGTTCAAATATACCTACCATTAAAATTATAGACTGATCATTTCTTTGTCAGTGGGCAAACGTACAAAATCACGAGGGAATCAAATACTTTTTTTCCCTCACTGTAGGGGGCATTGTTATACAGGGTGGCCCAAAAGTCAGGACACATAGGGGCATTGTTATACTGGGTGGCCCAAAAGTCAGGACGCATAGGGGCATTGTTATTCTGGGTGGCTCCAAAAGTCAGGACACATAGGGGCATTGTTATTCTGGGTGGCTCCAGAAGTCAGAACACATAGGGGCATTGTTATACTGGGTGGCCTGAAAGTCAGGACACATTAGGGTATTATTGTACTGGGTTGCCCAAAAGTCAGGACACAAAGGGATATTGTTATACAGGGTGGCCCAAAATATACCTTTTGAAAGGTATATCAAGACGATTATGAGAAAAAAACAGAATAGGCTTTATTTACCCGTTCCGAAAAGAAAACAGAGACAGTGTTAAGATATCCAAACACCGAATAGACACCGACTACCACTACATGGCATCTTCAATCAGTCTGAATTAATCCCACGTCACGCTTGTTGTAAAACCACCAGCAACAGGGACAATGCAAACACACACAGCTGTGATTATTATAATAATGATGATGTACGGCATTGTCCTTGTAACTGATTGGCCTTCCTCTTTCGCATGGAGATTAAAGATGTAATTTTATATTTGTTTGTTATCCACTCCAATTATTTGTTCAGACGCAGAGTGGATCTCGTCCCGTTCCTCCTTTAAAGGAGTGAAGACCGCAGAGAGAAGTGATTACGGTGATGGTCGATGGTTTGGGATTCGCGGCCGCATGCTCACAAGGTGATTCATCTTTACTCTTTGGTTCTATTCGGTAAATCACGTAGGTAAAAAAATAAAACAAAAATCACGTTTCGGCCACAACACAAGTGGCCTTCATCAGGTGAAGGGACCGGACTGTTCAGAGGACAGCGTTGGAGTGAAGACAGCCAAGCCCAGGTCGCGTCCTTTAAGCTTGTGGTCGCGGAAAGCTTAAAGGACGCGACCTGGGCTTGGCTGTCTTCACTCCAACGCTGTCCTCTGGACAGTCCGGTCCCTTCACCTGATGAAGGCCGCTTGTGTTGTGGCCGAAAGGTCGTGATTTTTGTTGTTTTATTTTTTTACCTACGTGACTTTACCGAATAGAACCAAAGCGTATGGATCCTTGCAGTCACGAAAGCTTCAAATCTAGAATTGATTCGTCTATGATTGGCCCCATTTGTGGCATCAGTTGGCCGCATCGGCTGCACGACCCCCGGTCCGGATTGGGTCGATGGTCGACCTTTGGGCTGCGTGGGAGGCAGAAGCCGGGGAGTTTCAATGGTAGGGTCCTGATTGGCCTGTAACGGAGCTACAGCCTCCGACTCTCTGGGTCTATCTCTCACCAATGGCGTTAGACCAGAGAACGACGCCCCAACGCGCGATCAGGAACAAAGACAATGCAAACGTGAACGCATTCATGAGCTCGGGTCGAGCAGTTAAATCATTGTCGGCCAGTTATTAGCATTTCCACGTCAAGGAGTGTAAACCATCATCACGCGAAGTCCACTCAACTTGGCAGCAGCAGCAGCGGTTTTTCGCTCAGCCATCGAACAAAGACGGTGGTCACGTGACGCTAACAGATGTGCTGCTTCTGCAGCCGTCTGGAACGCTCTTCCTTCCGATATTAGGAAGCCACTGGGAGATATCATGCTGCTTCTTGCTGCTGTGTTTAGTTTGTTGTTCATCTCCCGCACCTCCGATTAGCACGGTTGGCTACGTACGGTGCCAAAGAAGTTCAACATTCATACAACATATGTACATACAACATACAGACATACAACATACAGTCATACAACGTACAAACATACAAAAGGCAACCATTGCAAGGACAACGCAAATATCAATGCATTTATGGCTCGGGTCGAGCAGTTATATCACGGCCATCGTGAACCCACCCACCGACACGGCCATCGTGAACCGCACCCACTGACCCGGCCATTGTGAAACCCACCCACTGGCCCGGCCATTGTGAAACCCACCCACTGACCCGGCCATTGTGAAACCCATGCCCTCACTCCCACTGTCTCCGTCTTGAATCTCGTTGTCTTCAAGTGTCCTCACGATTGTCCATGACGCACTTCCTTCCTCCACCACCTCATCCACCACCTCCACCACCACCTCCACCACTTCCAACAACAACAACAACAACAACCGCCATTCGCCACTAAGTGGCGGTGATGAGACCACGGTGCTTGCGCCAGGCTAAGTGCGCTTTAAAGCCACGTGAAGTGTCGCAGGCCCACTAGCAGGAGGTCAGTGGACGAGACCTAGCAAGTGCCATGGGTTGACTCACTGAGATGAATGGCCGATACACCACCTGTGCCCCCTACTGTGCCAACCTGCTGTGCTTTAGCCACCTGTCGCTCCGCTCGTTGTTGTGAGCGTCGCTCCTCCGCCCTCCGTCTCCGTTGTTGTTGGAGGGCGACTGCCTCCAACTGCCCAGTAGCGTCCTTCACGAGCCCCCTCCACAGAGGCTGATCTTGACACCGCTGGTACCAGTCATCGGCAAGTCCACTCAGCTACACGTCCTCCTGTACCACATCATTCCATCTCTTCTCTAGCCCATGCCACTTCCATTTAGCCCCCTCTATCCAGTCGAACAAAAACTGTTTAGGCAAGCAGTGGCTGGGCATGTGGACTACATGACCCAGCCAACGCAGCCTGCCAAAGGAGCTCACTGATGGGACTTAGTCCAGACCTTTCAAGGATTTGTGAGCTCCTCACACAATTCAGCCTGGTTAACCCCAGTATGGATCATAGGCAGACCAGCATTAATGTTTCTAACCAGTGCCGATGTTCCATTAGAGGGGTCCACATTACAGAAGCATAGAGAAGGGAGGGCATGACCGTGAACGAGAAGACCGGACGCTTCATGTGGAGCAACAGATGAGGAAGCTTCCACACAGCGCTACACAGCCGATGAAAAGGCAATTCCGCTGACAGATTCGGAGACCTCTTCTGTCACACCGGAGCTGATCATAAACACAATGCCCAGGTATGGAAACCTCTCCACTCTCTCCACAACTGCTCCATCACCAATTGGGAGTTGAGGGGGTGGAGTGTTTGATGACACAAAATGCCCAGGCACCACCTCCTCCACCTCCTCCATCACGAATTCCACGACCACCTCCACCACCTTCTCCACCACCTCCTCCATCACCAAATCCTCCACCACCTTCTCCACCACCTCCTCCACCGCCAACTCCACCAACTCCTCCTCCACCACCTCGAAGGTCACGGTGACCCAGTGCCCACGGTCATATCCCCAGCGCGACCTCCTCCACCTCCTCCTGCGACGTCACCCCTCCACGAGGTGGTGGACGATGCCACGAGCGCGGCCGCTGCCGCTACCGCATTGATGGTGGACGATGAGGAGGAGGAGGAGGTGGACGAGGAGGTGGACGAGGAGGTGGACGAGGTGGTGGTGGATGAGGTCGAGCTGGTGGTGGACTGGTCACGCAACAAGGCGACGAGGAAGTCAATGTAGCGCATGGCCAGCCGCAGGATCTCGTTCTTGCTGAGCTTGCGGTCGGGGGGGTGTGTGGGCAGCAGGCGACGGAGCTCGGAGAAGGCCCCGTTCACGTTCTGCTGGCGCCAGCGCTCGCGGCTGTTAGTGAAGATCCGGCGCACAAGCTTCTGTGGGGAGCCGGCTGGGGGAGGAGTAGGGGGGAGGTGAGGGAGGAGGTCGCCGAATCTCGTGAAGTGAGAAGTGGGGGGCAGACGCGGGCGGGGGACACGGGGAGGCGCGCTGGTAGACACGGCAGGAAGCTCAGAAGGAGGAGAGCGGGGAAGTAGCCGACTCTCGTGAAGTGAGATGCGGGGAAGGAGACGTCGGGAGACGCGTGGAGACACAAGGAGACACGTGGAGACACAAGGAGACGCGTGGAGACACAAGGAGACGTCGGGAGATGCGTGGAGACACAAGGAGATACCGGGAGACGTGTGGATACACAAGGAGATGCTGGGAGACACAAGGAGACACAAGGAGATGCTGGGAGACACAAGGAGACACAAGGAGATGCTGGGAGACACAAGGAGACACAAGGAGATTCTGGGAGACACAAGGAGATGCGTGGAGACACAAGGAGATACCAGGAGACGTGTGGAGACACAAGGAGATACCGGGAGACGCGTGGAGACACAAGGAGATGCTGGGAGACACAAGGAGATACAAGGAGATGCTGGGAGACACAAGGAGACACAAGGAGATGCTGGGAGACACAAGGAGATGCGTGGAGACACAAGGAGACACAAGGAGATGCTGGGAGACACAAGGAGACACAAGGAGATGCGTGGAGACACAAGGAGATGCATGGAGACACAAGGAGATACCGGGAGACGTGTGGAGACACAAAGAGATGCCGGGAGATGCGTGGAGACACAAGGTGATGCTGGGAGACACAAGGAGACACAAGGAGATGCGTGAAGACACAAGGAGATGCGTGGAGATGCGTGGAGACACAAGGAGACACAAGGAGACGCGTGAAGACACAAGGAGATGCGTGGAGACACAAGGAGATGCGTGGAGACACAAGGAGACGCGTGGAGACACAAGGAGATGCGTGGAGACACAAGGAGATGCTGGGAGGCAGGTGAAGGTACAGCCAGGGAACATAGAGACATGGTGAGGGGTGGGTAAGTGAGCAGTTAGGTGAGCGGTAGGTATGTGAGCAGGTAGGTGAGCAAGTATGTGAGTGATAGGTATATGAGCAGGAAGGTGAGGGGTAGGTGAGGAGGTAGGTGAGTGGTAGATAGGTGAGCAGGTAGGTGAGCAAGTAAGTGAGTGGTAGGTAGGTAGGTGAATGGTAGCTGGTGAGCAAGTAGGTGAGGGGTGGGTAGGTGAGAAGGTTGGTAGGTGAGCGGGTAGGTGAGCAGTAGGTAGGTGAGCAGGTAGGTGAGCAATAGGTAGGTGAGGGGTAAGTGAGCAGGAAAATGAGGGGTAGGTAGGTGAGGGGTGGGTAGGTGAGCAGGTAGGTAAGAGGTGAGTAGATGGGTAGGTAAGTGAGCTTTAGGTAGGTGAAGGTGGGTAGATGAGTGGGTGGGTAGATGAGGTGTAGGTAGGTGAGTGGGTGGGTGGGTCGCTGGGCAGGTGGGTCAGTGAGTAAGTAGGTGAGTAGGTAGGAGAGATATGGATATGTGAGGTGTAGGTAGGTGTGTGGGTGAGTAGGTGAGCAGGTAGCTAGGGGTAGGTGAGCAGGTAGGTAAGCGGTAGTTAGGTGAACGGTAGGAAGGTCAGGAGGAAGGTGAGCAGGTAGGTGAGGAATGGGTTGGTAAGCGGGATGGTAGGTGAGCGGGTAGGCAAGCAGGTAGGTAAGGGGTAGGTAGGTGAGGGGTAGGTGAGGGTGGGTAGGTAGGTAAGCTGGTAGGTGAGTGGGTAGGTAGGTGAGCAGGTAGGTGAGCAGGTAGGTGAGAGGGTTACTTTCTCCGATCTCGTAGTCGAAGGGCAGGGGTCGTCGCTTCAGCCTTGCGTGTTGTGCCGAGGGAAACCCAGCGGACACCACAAACGCCCTGGGGAGGAATGAGGGGTTCACAATGGCGATGTCAAGGGGGTTCTCAATGGCCATTTCAGTGGGCGGGTGCGTTTACAATGGGCGTGAGGGTGGGTGGGTCCACGATGGCCCTGTTTGTGGTTGGGTGGGTTCCGGAAGAACGTGTCCGTGGGAGGGTGGGTTCACGATGGCCAGGTTTGTGGGTGGGTGGGTTCCCGATGGTCGTGTCCGTAGGGGGGTGGGTTCACAATGGCGGTATCTGTGGGTGGGGGGGTTGAGTTCACGATGGCCATGTCTGTGGGTGGTTGGGGTCACAATGGCCATTTCTGTGGGTGGGTGGATTCCCGATGGTCCTGTCTGTGGGTGGGTGGGCTCACGATGGCCGTGTCTGTAGTTGGGTGGATTGACGATGGGAGTGTCTTTGGGTGGGTGGGTTCACAATTTCCGTTTCGGTGGCAGGGATCACGATGGCCATGTCTATGAGTCGGTGGATTAATGATGGCCGTGTCTGTGGGTGGGTTGATTCACGATGTATGTTGGTATGTGGGTTCATGATGGCCGTGTCTGTGGGTGGGTGGTTTTACGAGTTCTGTTTCGGTGGGTGGGATCACGATGGCTGTGTCTGTGGCTGGTTGCTTCACGATGGCCGGTTTGTGGGTGGGTGGGTTCCCAATCGCCATGTCTGAGTGTGGGTGGTTGGTTCACGATGGCCGTGTGTGTGGCCGGGTTCAGGATGATCTGATCTGTGGGTGTGTGGGTTCACGATGGCCATGTCTGTGGGCCGTTGGCTGTAGGGTTGGTGGGTTCCAGATGGCCATCTCTGTGGGTGGGTTCACGATGGCCGTGTCTGTGGTTGGGATCACGATGGCCATGTCTCTGGGTGGGTGGCTGGGTCAGTTCACAATTGTTGTTTCTGTGGGTGAGTTCACGATGGCTGTGTCTGTTGGTTCACGATGGCCGTGTCTGTGAATGGGTGGGTTAATGATCGCCGTGTCTCTGAGTAGGTGGGTTTACGATGGCCATCTTTTTGGGTGGGTTGAGTTCCCTATGGCCGTGTCTGTGGGTCGGTAGGTTCACAATGGTCATGTCTGTGGGTGGGCTCACAATGGCCGTTTTTGTGTGTGGGTGGGTTCACGATGACCATGTCTGTTGGTGGGTGGGTTCACGATGGCTGTGTTTGTGGGTGAGTGGGCTCACGATGACCATGTCTGTTGGTAGGTGGGTAGACGATTGTCATGTCTGTGGGTCGGTGGGTTCACGATGGCCGTGTCTGTTGTTGGGTTGGTGGGTTATAGATGGCAGTGTCTGTGTGTGGGTTAACAATGGCCGTGTCTCTGGGTGGATGGGTTCGCGATGGCCGTGTCTCTGGGTTGGTGAGTGGGTTCACAATGGTCATTCATGTCTGTCGGAGGGCTCACGTTGGCCGTGTCTATGGGAGGGTGGGTAAGTTGACGATTGCCGTGTCTGTGGGTGGGTGTGTGGGTTAACGATGGCCATGTCTATGAGTGGGTGGGCTTACAATGGCCATATCTGTAGGTGGCTGGGTTCATGATGGCCATGTCTCACAATCGCCATGTCTGTGGGAGGGTTCCCGATGGCTGTGTCTGTGGGTGGATTCATGATCATCATGTTTGTTGGTGGATGGGTTCATGATGGCTGTGTCTCTGGGTTGGTGAATGGGTTCATGATAGCTATTTCTGTGGGTGGGTTCACAATTTTATTTTCTGTGGGTGGGATCACGATAGCCATGTCTGTGTCTGGTTGGTTCATAATGGCCGTGTTTGTGGGTGGGTGGGTGGGTTCACAATGGCCGTGTTTGTGGGTGGATTCACGATAGTCGTATCTGTAGGTGGATGGGTTCATGATGGCCATGTCTGTGGGTGAGTTCACGATTTCCGTTTCTGTGGGTGGAATCACGATGGCCGTGTCTGTGGGTGGTTGGTTCACGATGGCCGTGTCTATTGGTGGGTTCACGATGGACGTGTCTGTGGGTGGGGGGTTGAGTTAATGATGGCCATGTTTGTGGGTGGTTGGGTTCACAATGGTCGTGTCTGAGTGTGGGTGGGTTCACAATGGCCGTGTATGTTGCCGGGATCACGGTGGTCAGATCTGTGGGTGTGTGGGTTCACAATGGCCATCTCTGTGGGCCGTTGGCTAAGAATGGCTGCGTGTTTTTGTAGGGTTGGTGGGTTCCAGATGGCCATCTCTGTGGGTGGGTTCACAATGGCCGTGTCTGTGGTTGGGTCCACGATGGCCGTGTCTCTGGTTGGGTCCACGATGGCCGTGTCTGTGGGTGGGTTCACAATGGCTGTATCTGTGGGTGAGTGGGTCCATGATGGCCGTCTCTGTGTGTGGGTGGGTTCAGGATGGCCATGTCTGTGGGTGATTTGGTTCATGATTGCCATGTTTGTCGGTGGGTTCAGGATAGTCGTGTTTTTGAGTGAGTTAGTTTACAATGGCCGTATCTTTTGTTGGTTTGGCGAGTGTCAGATGACCGTGTCTGTGGGTGAGTTGACGATGGCGGTGTCTGTGGGTGGGTGGGTTCACGATTAACGTTTCTGTGGATGTGTTCAAGATGGCCATGTCTGTGGGTGGGTGGGTTCACGATAGCCGTGTCTGTGGGTGGGTAGGTGGGTGGGTTCACAATGGACGTGTCTGTGGGTGGGTGGGTGGGAAGGTGAGTTGACGATTGGCGTTTCTGTGGGTGGATTCACGATGGCCGTGTCTGTGGGTGGGTGTGTGGGTTCACGATGGCCGTGTCTGTGAGTGGGTGGGCTCACAATGGCCATGTCTGTAGGTGGATGGGTTCATGATGGCCATGTTTGTGGGTGGGTGGGTTCAAGATTTTATTTTCTGTGGGTGGGATAACGATGGCCTTGTCGGTGGCTGGTTGGTTCCCAATGGCCGTGTTTTTGGGTGGGTTCACGATGGCCTTGTCTGTTGGTGGGTGGGTTCACGATAGCCATGTCTGTGCGTGGGTGGATTCACGATGGTCGTGTGTCTGGATTGGTGTGCGGAACCACGATGGCCATGTCTCTGGGTGGGTGGCTGGGTGAGTTCACAATTGTTGTTTCTGTGGTTGGTTCACGATGGCCGTGTCTGTGGATGGGTGGGTCAATGATCGCCGTGTCTCTGAGTGGGTGGGTTTACGATGGCCATCTTTTTGGGTGGGTGGGTTCCCTATGGCCGTGTCTGTGGGTCGGTAGGCTCACAATAGTCATATCTGTGGGTGGGCTTACAATGGCCGTTTTTGTGGGTGGGTGGGCTCACGATGACCATGTCTGTTGGTGGGTTGGTGGGTTCCAGATGGCCGTGTCTGTGTGTGGGTTAACGATGGCCGTGTCTCTGGGTGGATGGGATCGCAATGGCGGTGTCTCTGGGTGGATGGGTTCACGATGGCCGTGACTGTTGGTGGAATGGATCACGATGGCCGTGTCTCTGGGATGGTGGGTGAGTTGACGATTGCCGTGTCTGTGGGTGGGTGCGTGGGTTAGCGATGACCATGTCTATGAGTGGGTGGGCTTACAATGGCCATATCTGTAGGTGGCTGGGTTCATGATGGCCATGTCTGTGGGTGGGTGGGTTCACGATTTTCTTTTCTGTGGGTGGGATCACGATGGCCATGCCTGTGTCTGGTTGGTTCATGATGGCCGTGTCTGTGGGTGGGTGGGTTCATAATGGCCGTGTCTGTGGGTGGGTTCACGATGGTCATGTCTGAGGGTCGGTGAGTTCAGGATGTCTGTGTCTGTTGTTGGGTTGGTGAGTTGCAGATGGCCATTTCTGTGGGTGGGTTCACCATGGCCGTGTCTGTGGGTGGGTGGGTACACAATGGTCATGTCTGTAGGTGGGAGGGCTCACAATGGCCTTTTTTGTGGGTGGGTGTTCTCACGATGACCATGTCTGTTGGTGGGTGGGTTCACGATGGCCGTGTCTGTTGGTGGGTGCATGGATTCACGATGGCCGTGTCTGTGTGTGGGTAGTTTCACGATGGCTCGTGTTTGTGGGTGGGTGGGCTCACGATGACCATGTCTGTAGGTGGGTGGGTTCACGATGGCTGTGTTTGTGGGTGGGTGGGTTCACAATAGCCGTAGCCATGGGTGGGTGGGTTCACGATGTCTGTGTTTGTTGGTGGGTAGGTGAGTTCGCAATGGCCGTAGCCATGGGTCGGTGGGTTAACGATCGTCATGTCTGTGGGTCGGTGGGTTCACGATGGCCGTGTCTCTGGGTGGATGGGTTCACGATGGTCATGTCTCTAGGTGGTTGGGTTAATGATCGCCGTGTCTCTGGGTGGGTCGGTTCACAATGGCCATGTCTGTGGGTGGATTGGTGCGTTCACAATTTCCTTTTCTGTCGGTGGGATCACGATGGCCATGTCTGTGGCTAGTTGGTTCACGATGGCCGTGTCTGTGGGTGGGTGGGCTCACGATGGCGGTTTCTGTGGGTGGGTGGTCTCACGAAAGCCATGTCTGTTGGTGAGTGGGTTCACAATGGGCATGTTTCTGGGGAGGTGGCTGGGTGGGTTCACAATGGCAGTGTTTTTTGGGTAGGTGGGCTCACATTGGACATTTTTGTGGGTGGGTGGGCTCACGATGGCCGTGTCTGTGGGTGGCTGGTTTCATGATGGCCTTGTCTGTGGGTGGACTGGTTCATGATGTTCATGACTTTGAGTGGGTGCATTCACAATTTCCTTTTCTGTGGGTGGGATCACGATGGCCATGTCTGTGTCTGGTTGGTTCATAATGGCCGTGTTTGTGGGTGGGTGGGTTCACAATAGCCGTGTCTGTGGGTGGGTTCACGATGGTCATGTCTGAGGGTCGGTGAGTTCAGGATGTCTGTTGTTTGGTTGGTGGATTGCAGATGGCCATTTCTGTGGGTGGGTTCACCATGGCCGTGTCTGTGGTTGGGTGGATTCATGATGGCCATCTCTGTTGGTGGATGGGTTCACGATGGCCATGTTTCTGGTTGAGTGGCTGGGTGGGTTCACAATTGTTGTTTCTGCGGGTGAGTTCACGATGGCTGTGTCTGTGGGTGGTTGGGTTAATGATCGCCGTGTCTCTGGGTGGGCGGGTTCACAATGGCCATGTGTTTTGGGTGGGTGGGCTCACAATGGCCGTGTCTATGGGTGGGTGGATTCACAATCGCCGTGTCTGTGGGAGGGTTCCCGATGGCCGTGTCTGAGGGTGGATTCACGATCATCATGTTTGTTGGTGGATGGGTTCATGATGGCTGTGTCTCTGGGTTGGTGAATGGGTTCATGAGAGCTATTTCTGTGGGTGGGTTCACAATTGCCTTTTCTGTGGGTGGGTTGACGATGGCCATGTCTGTGGGTGGTTGGTTCACGATGGCCATGTCTGTGGGTGATTCACGATTTCTATTTTTGTGGGTAATTGTTTTACGATGGCCATATTTGTGGGTGGCTGGGTTCACGTTGGCTGGGTTCACGATGGCCGTGTCTCTGGGTGGGTGGATTCCCAATGGCCGTGTCTATGAGTGGTTTCATGATGGCCGTGTCTCTGGGTGGGTGGGTTCCCAATGGCCGTGTCTATGAGTGGCTTCACGATGGCCGTGTCCATGGGTGGTTGGGTCATGATGGCCGTGTCTGTGGGTTGGTGGGTTCCCAATCGCCGTGTCTGTAGGAGGGTTCATGATGGCCATGTCTGTGGGTGGGTGGATTCATGATGGCCGTGTCTGTGGGTGGGTTCACAATAGGCATATCTATGGGTGGGTGCGTTCAAAATCGCCGTGTCTGTGGGAGGGTTCACGATGGCCTTGTCTGTGGGTGTGTGGATTCACGATGGCCGTGTCTGTGGGTGGGTGGGTTCACAATAGGCGTGTCTGTAGGTGGGTAAATTTCACAATAGTCGTGTCTGTAGGTGGCTGGGTTCACAATGGCCGTGTCTGTGGGTCGGTGAGATCACGATGGCTATGTCTGTGGCTGGGTTCACAATGGCCGTGTCTGTGGGTCGGTGAGTTCACGATGGCTATGTCTCTGGCTGGGTTCACAATGGCCGTGTCTGTGGGTCGGTGAGTTCACGATGGCTATGTCTGTGGCTGGGTTCACAATGGCCGTGTCTGTGGGTCGGTGAGTTCATGATGGCTATGTCTCTGGCTGGGTTCGCAATGGCCGTGTCTGTGGGTCGGTGAGTTCACGATGGCTATGTCTCTGGCTGGGTTCACAATGGCCGTGTCTGTGGGTCGGTGAGTTCACGATGGCTATGTCTGTGGGTGGGTTCGCAATGGCCGTGTCTGTGGGTCGGTGAGTTCACGATGGCTATGTCTGTGGCTGGGTTCGCAATGGCCGTGTCTGTGGGTCGGTGAGTTCACAATGGCTATGTCTGTGGCTGGGTTCACAATGGCCGTGTCTGTGGGTCGGTGAGTTCACGATGGCTATGTCTGTGGGTGGGTTCACAATGGCCGTGTCTGTGGGTCGGTGAGTTCACGATGGCTATGTCTGTGGGTGAGTTCGCAATGGCCGCGTCTCTCACCCGTAGGGTCCCATGAGTGGGGGAGGGCCGAAGGGGATGAGGAGAGGGTGGGGGCCGTGACCCCCACCCTTAGCCCCACAGAGTCCCAAGTCAATCACAGGGACGCACACCGCCTACATGGGGAGCGGAGGGGGGGGTGGGGGGACATGAGGGATCAAGGTAAGTGAGAGTTCGAGTGAATGAGTGAATGTCCAAGTGAATGTCCGAGTGCGTGCCCAAGTGAGTGTTTGTCCGAGTGAGTGTGTGTCCGAGTGAGTGTGTGTCCGAGTGAGTGTCCGAGTGAGTGTCCACGTGAATGAGTGTTGGAGTGAGTAAGTGTCCACTTGAGTAAGTGTCTGCGTGTGTCAGTTAGTGTCCGCATGAGTGAGTGTCCGAGTGAGTGAGTGAGAGAGTGTCCGAGTGAGTGAGAGAGTGTCCGAGTGACTGCGTGTTTGGGTGAATGAGTGAATGTCTGAGTGAATGTCCCAGTGAGCGTGTGCCTGAGTGAGTGTCCGATTGAGTGTAGGAGTGAGTGAGTGTTTCAGTCCATGATTGCGAATCCGAGTGAGTGTTCGAGTGAGTGTCCGAGTAAGTGAGTGTCCGAGTGAGTGGCTGAGTGAGTCAGTGTCCGAGTAAGTGAGTGAGTGTCCGAGTGAGTGAGTGGCTGAGTGAGTGATTGAGTATTCGAGTGAGTGAGTGTCCGAGTGAGTGTCCGAGGGAGTGAGTGAGTGTCCGAGTGAGTTTCCAAGTGAGTGAGTGTACAAGTGAGTGAGTGTACAAGTGAGTGAGTGGCTGAGTGAGTGAGTGGCTGAGTGAGTGTCCAAGTGAGTGAGTGGCTGAGTGAGTTATTGAGTGTTCGAGTGAGTGAATGTCCGAGTGGGTGAGTGTCCGAGTGGGTGAGTGTCCGAGTGAGTGAGTGAGTGTTCAAGTGAGTGAGTGGCTGAGTGAGTGAGCGAATGTCCGAGTGAGTGAGTGAGTGTCCGAGTAAGTGTCCAAGTGAGTGAGTGTCCGAGTGAGTGAGTGTCTGAGTGAGTGAGTGTCCAAGTGAGTGAGTGTCCGAGTGAGTGAGTGTCCATGTGAGTGAGTGTCCGAGTGAGTGAATGTCCGAGTGAGTGAGTGAATGTCCGAGTAAGTGTCCAAGTGAGTGAGTGTCCGAGTGAGTGAGTGTCTGAGTGAGTGAGTGTCCAAGTGAGTGAGTGTCCGAGTGAGTGAGTGTCCAAGTGAGTGAGTGTCCAAGTGAGTGAGTGTCCGAGTGAGTGAATGTCCGAGTGAGTGAGTGTCCGAGTGAGTGAGTGTCCGAGTGAGTGAATGTCCGAGTGAGTGAGTGTTCGAGTGAGTGAGTGTCAGAGTGAGTGAGTGAGTATCCGAGTGAGTGTCCGAGTGAGTGAATGTCCGAGTGAGTGAGTGTCCGAGTGAGTGAGTGTCAGAGTGAGTGAGTGAGTGAGTATCCGAGTGAGTGTCCGAGTGAGTGAATGTCCGAGTGAGTGAGTGTCCGAGTGAGTGAGTGTCCGAGTAAGTGAGTGTCCGAGTGAGTGAATGTCCGAGTGAGTGAGTGTTCGAGTGAGTGAGTGTCAGAGTGAGTGAGTGAGTATCCGAGTGAGTGTCCGAGTGAGTGAGCGTCCGAGTGAGTGAATGTCCGAGTGAGTGAGTGTCCGAGTAAGTGAGTGTCCGAGTGAGTGAGTGAGTGGTTGAGTGAGTGTCCGAGTGAGTGAATGTCCGAGTGAGTGAATATCCGAGTGAGTGAGTGTCCGAGTGAGTGAGTGTCCGATTGAGTGAGTGAGTGTTCGAGTGAGTGAGTGGTTGAGTGAGTGAGTGAGAGAGTGAGTGAGTGTGAGAGTGAGAGAGTGAGTGAGTGTGAGTGAGAGAGTGAGTGAGTCTGAGAGTGAGTGAGAGAGTGAGTGAGTGTGAGAGTGAGTGAGTGATTGGAAGGATGCCCTGGTGGTCCCCCTTTTTAAGAAGAGGGACCGCACAGACTGTAACAACTACAGGGGCATTTCACTCCTCAGTGTGCCGGGAAAGGTGCTGGCAAGGATTATTCAGCATCGCCTTGCCAGGCACGCTGAGGAGAGGCTTGCGGAGCCCCAATGCAGTTTCAGGAAAGAGCGGTCCTGCACAGATGCCATATTTTCTGTCCGTCTGCTACAGCAGAGGTGTAGGGAATTCCAAAAAGACCTACATCTCTGCTTTATTGACCTGGTCAAGGCCTATGATACCATCAGTAGGCCTGGGCTCTGGGTTGTTCTTTGTGCTTTTGGAGTACCTGACCCTCTGCTCACAATCATTAAGGACCTTCATGATGGTGAGCGGGCCCGGGTAAAACTACGTGGCCGGGAGTCAGAGCCATTCCCTGTACACCTTGGGGTGCGACAGGGATGTCCTCTGGCTCCCACATTATTTAACATCTATTTTGACCACGTAGTTCGTGAAGCCTTCAATAGCTGTACCGGGGGAATCTCCATATGGTACAGATATAATGGGAGGCTGATCGATGCCCGGGTGCGGTCAAGGGATGGCTCCCTATTGCTCAACCACGTTATGTATGCTGATGATTTGGTAATAGCTGCTCATTCAGAGGGGGAGTTGGAGACGCTGCTGCTGAGACTGGAGCGTGCCACTAAGAGATGGGGCCTTACCATCAGCCCCACTAAAACTAAGCACCTGCCTGGGTATTTTGTACCATCGGACACTACACCCCCACAACTCCCAATCGGTGATGGGGCAGTTGTGGAGAGAGTGGAGAGTTTCCCATACCTGGGCAGTGTGCTTATGACCGGCTCCAGTTTAACAGCAGAGGTCTCACTCCGAATCAGTCGAGCGGCAATATCTTTTCATCGGTTGCGTAATGCTGCGTGGAAGCTACTTGGTCTGTCGCTCCACACTAAGCTTCAGGTCTTCTCGGCCACGGTCATTCCCTCCCTTCTCTACGCTTGCGAAACGTGGACCCCCCTAATGGAACATCTTCGCCGGTTAGAGACATTTAGGCTGGCCTGCCTACGATCCATCCTGGGTTTAACCAGGCTGGATTGTGTGAGGAGCTCACAAATCCTTGAAAGATCTGGGCAAGGTCCCATCGGTGAGCTCCTCCGGCGGGCAAGGCTGCGATGGCTGGGTCATGTAGCCCGCATGCCCAGCTGCCGAAACAGCTTTTGTTCGACCGGATTGAGGGGGCTAAACAGGTGCGGCACGGGCTAGAGAAGAGATGGAGTGATGTGGTACAGGAGGACGTGGAGCTGAGTGGACTTGCCGATGACTGGTACCAGCGGTGTCAAGATCGGCCTCTGTGGAGGAGGCTCGTGAAAGACTCTACTGGACAGTTGGAGGCAGTCGCCCTCCAACAACAACGGAGGGCGGAGGAGCGACGCTCACAACAACGAGCGGAGCGCCGGGTGGCTAAAGCACAGCAGATTGGCACAGTAGGGGGCACAGGTGGTGCACCAGCCAGTCGTCTCAGTTAGTCGACCCGTGGCACCTGGGTCTGCCCCGTGACCTCTTGCCAGCAGGCGTTCGACACTTCACGTGGCCTCAGGGTGCACATAGCCTGGCACAAACGTCGTGGTGACGTCACCGCCACTTAGTGGCGAAAGGCGGTTGTTGTTGTTGAGTGAGTGTGAGAGTGAGTGAAAGAGTAAGTGTAAGAGTGAGTGTGAGGGTGAGTGAGTGAGTGTCCGAGTGAGAGAGAGAGTGAGTGTGAGTGAGTGTGAGAGTGAGTGTAAGAGTGTGAGAGTGAGTGTAAGAGTGAGTGAGAGAGTGAGTGTGAGAGTGAGCGTGAGAGTGAGTGAGTGTGAGAGTGAGTGTGAGAGTGAGTGTGAGAGTGAGTGTAAGTGAGTGTGACAGTGAGTGTGAGGGTGTGAGAGTGAGTGTAAGAGTGAGCGAGAGAGTGAGTGTGAGTCCGAGTGAGTGTAAGAGTGAGTGTGAGAGAGTGAGTGAGTGTGAGAGTGAGTGTGAGAGTGAGTGTGAGAGTGAGTGTAAGAGTGAGTGTAAGAGTGAGTGAGAGAGAGTGAGTGTAAGTGAGTGTGAGAGTGAGTGTGAGAGTGAGTGTAAGAGTGAGTGTAAGAGTGAGTGTGAGAGTGAGTGTGAGTGAGTGTGAGAGTGAGTGTAAGAGTGAGTGTAAGAGTGAGTGAGAGAGAGTGAGTGTAAGTGAGTGTGAGACTGAGAGTGAGCGTGAGAGTGAGTGTAATAGTGAGTGTAAGAGTGAGTGTGAGAGAGTGAGTGAGAGGGTGAGTGAGTGAGTGTAAGAGTGAGTGTAAGAGTGAGTGTGAGAGTGAGTGAGAGAGTGAGTGAGTGTGAGTGAGTGTGAGAGTGAGTGTGAGAGTGAGTGTAAGTGAGTGTGAGAGTGAGTGTAAGAGTGAGTGTGAGAGTGAGCGAGAGAGTGAGTGTAAGAGTGAGTGTAAGAGTGAGTGAGAGAGTGAGTGTAAGAGTGAGTGTGAGAGTGAGTGAGTGTGAGAGTGAGTGAGTGTAAGAGTGAGTGTGAGAGTGAGTGTGAGAGTGAGTGTGAGTGAGTGAGTGAGTGTAAGAGTGAGTGTAAGAGTGAGTGTAAGAGTGAGTGAGTGTAAGTGAGTGTAAGAGTGAGTGTAAGAGTGAGTGTGAGAGTGAGTGAGTGAGAGAGTGTGAGAGTGTAAGAGTGAGTGTGAGAGAGTGAGTGTAAGAGTGAGTGTAAGAGTGAGTGTAAGAGTGAGTGAGTGTGAGAGTGAGTGAGTGTGAGTGAGTGAGCGAGAGAGTGAGTGTGTGAGAGGGTGAGGGTGTGTGAGTGAGTGTGTGAGAGAGTGAGTGAGTGTGAGGGTGAGTGTGAGAGTGAGTGTGAGAGAGAGTGTAAGAGTGAGTGTAAGAGTGAGTGAGTGAGTGTAAGAGTGAGTGAGTGTGAGAGTGAGTGAGAGTGAGTGTGAGAGTGAGTGTGAGAGTGAGTGTAAGTGAGTGTGAGAGTGAGTGTGAGAGTGAGTGTGAGTGTAAGAGTGTGAGTGTGAGTGAGTGTGAGTGAGTGAGAGAGTGAGTGAGTGTGAGTGAGTGAGTGAGAGAGTGAGTGTGAGAGTGAGTGTAAGTGAGTGTAAGAGTGAGTGTAAGAGTGAGTGTGAGAGTGAGTGAGAGAGTGTGAGAGTGAGTGTGAGAGTGAGTGAGAGAGTGAGTGTAAGTGAGTGAGTGTGAGTGTAAGTGAGTGTGAGAGTGAGTGAGTGTGAGTGTAAGAGTGAGTGTGAGTGTAAGAGTGAGTGTGTAAGTGAGTGTAAGAGTGAGTGAGTGAGTGTGAGATTGAGTGTGAGTGTAAGAGTGAGAGTGAGTGTAAGAGTGAGTGTGAGTGAGTGTGAGAGTGAGTGTAAGTGAGTGAGTGAGAGCGTGAGTGTGTAAGTGAGTGTAAGAGTGAGTGAGTGAGAGAGTGAGTGTAAGAGTGTAAGAGTGAGTGTGAGTGAGTGAGTGTGAGTCCGAGTGAGTGTGAGTGAGTGTGTAAGAGTGAGTGAGTGTAAGTGAGTGAGTGAGTGTGAGTGAGTGTGAGAGTGAGTGTAAGAGTGAGTCCGAGTGAGTGTAAGAGAGAGTGAGTGTAAGAGTGAGTGTGTAAGTGAGTGTGTAAGTGAGTGTGTAAGTGTGAGTCCGAGTGAGTGTGAGTCCGAGTGAGTGTGAGAGTGAGTGTGAGAGTGAGTGAGTGTGAGTGTAAGAGTGAGTGTGTAAGTGAGTGTAAGAGTGAGTCCGAGTGAGTGTCTGGGCCTCTCACCGTCACCTCCCTCCCCGTGCTCCCCTCCCCCTCCCCGTGCCCCCCCTCCCCGTGCCCGGCCCCTCCCCCTCGCACAGCGAGTTCGACGTCCCGTGGACGTCCGGAGTCCGCCCCAACGTCGCGGCCAGCGTGACGTCGCTGCTGCGGTGTGGCTCCGATGTCGCATGCCTCCGCCGGCCCCAACCTCGGGGTGACGTCACTGCGGTGTGTGACGTCACTGTGGTGTGTGACGCCCCTCGGTGTGACGTCACGTTGGTGGGTTGTGTCATCCATTGGTGCGATGACGCTTTGCGTGGCGTCACCCCGATGCACGATGATGTCGCCACGGTGTGTGACGTCGCTTGGTGTGACGTCACTTGGTGTGACATCACTTGTTGTAACATCACCACGATGTGTGATGTTACCTCGGGGTGTGACGTGATGTGTTGTGACGTCACTATGGTGTGTGACATCATCACAGGGTGTGACGCCGCCCCAATGCATCGTGGCACTTCTTGGTGTGACGCCACCGTGGTGCGTTGTGACGTCACCATGGCATGTGACATCACCATGGTGTGTCGTGTCCCTTGGTGTGACGTCACCATGCTGTGTTGTGACGACACCACGATGTGTTGTGACATCACCGTGGTGTTTGATATCACCACGGTGCGTTGTGACGCCCCTTGCTGTTACATGGCCACAGTGCGTTGTGACGTCACCATGGCGTGTGACGTCACCATGGCGTGTGACGTCACCACGATGTGTTGTGACGTCACCACGGTGTGTTGTGACGTCACCACGGTCTGCGAAGTCCCTTGCTACAACGCCCCTTGCCTTGGCAATGTCATGGTGCGTGATGTCACCATGGTGCGAGACGTCACCTCGATGCGTTGTGACGCCCCGTGGTGTGACGTCACTTCGATGTGTGGCATCCTGTGGTGTGACGTTGCCGTGGTGCGTGACGTCACCCAAATGCGCTGTTACGCCCCTTGGTGTGATGCCCCTTGGTGTGACGCCCCTTGGGGTGACGCCCCTTGGTGTGACGTCACTCCGATGCGTGGCATCCCTTGGTGTGACGCCCCTTGGTGTGACGCCCCTTGGGGTGACGCCCCTTGGTGTGACGTCACTCCGATGCGTGACATCCCTTGGTCTGATGCCCCTTCGTGCGACGTCCATTGGTGCGACTTTCCTCGTTATGAAGTCACTCCGATGTGTGACACCCCTCGGTATGACGTCACCGCCGCCATCGCCGCCATCGCGTGGGGTGAGGTCCAGGGGAACGACTTCGCCATCAGGAACCTCCTCCTCAACCTCCAAGTCATTCCCAATGTCTTTCTCAACATCCTCCTCGTTCTCTTCCATGCCCTCCACATCCTCCTCCTCGTCCTCCTCCTCCACCTCCTCCTCCACCTCCACCAGCTCCTCTTCATCCTCTTCCTCCTCATCATCCTCCTCCTCTACCACCACCTCCATGTCCTCCTCCACCTCCTTCTCCTCCTCCTCAGTGGCCGTGACCTTGATGTCCACGGGTGGAGTCAGCGGTGGAGTCGCATCGTCACCAAGCGGCATCTCCGTCGTCATCATCGTTGTCTCCAAAGCCTACAACATCATACACACATACATCATACACACCTACATCATACACACATACATAATACACACATACAACATACACACATACATCATACACACATACAACATACACACATACATCATACACACATACAACATACACACATACAACATACACACATACAACATACACACATACAACATACACACATACAACATACACACATACAACATACACACATACATCATACACACATACATCATACACACCTACAACATACACACATACATCATACACACATACATCATACACACATACATCATACACACATACAACATACACACCTACAACATACACACATACATCATACACACATACATCATACACACATACATCATACACACATACAACATACACACATACATCATACACACATACATCATACACACATACAACATACATCATACACACATACATCATACACACATACATCATACACACATACATCATACACACATACATCATACACACATACACACATACATCATACACACATACAACATACACACATACATCATACACACATACATCATACACACATACATCATACACACATACATCATACACACATACATCATACACACATACATCATACACACATACAACATACACACATACATCATACACACATACATCATACACACATACAACATACACACATACATCATACACACATACATCATACACACATACATCATACACACATACATCATACACACATACATCATACACACATACATCATACACACATACATCATACACACATACATTATACACACATACATCATACACACCTACATCATACACACATACAACATACACGCATACATCATACACACCTACAACATACACACATACATCATACACACATACAACATACACACATACATCATACACACATACAACATACACACATACATCATACACAGATAGAACATACACACATACAACATACACACATACATCATACACACATACATCATACACACATACAACATACACACATACATCATACACACATACATCATACACACATACATCATACACACATACATCATACACACATACATCATACACACATACATCATACACACATACATTATACACACATACATCATACACACCTACATCATACACACCTACATCATACACACATACAACATACACACATACAACATACACACATACATCATACACACATACAACATACACGCATACATCATACACACCTACAACATACACACATACATCATACACACATACAACATACACACATACATCATACACACATACAACATACACACACACATCATACACAGATAGAACATACACACATACAACATACACACATACATCATACACACATACATCATACACACATACATCATACACACATACATCATACACACCTACAACATACACACATACATCATACACACATACATCATACACACATACATCATACACACATACATCATACACACATACATCATACACACATACATCATACACACATACAACATACACACATACATCATACACACATACATCATACACACATACATCATACACACATACATCATACACACATACAACATACACACATACAACATAAACACATACATCATACACACATACATCATACACACATACATCATACACACATACATCATACACACATACATCATACACACATACAACATACACACATACATCATACACACATACATCATACACATACATCATACACACCTACAACATACACAGCTACAACATACACACCTACTACATACACACAGGTCAAAGGAGGTCATGGTAGGTCAAATGAGGTAATCGTAGGTCAGAGGAGGCCGTCGTAGGTCAGAAGAGCTCATCAGACGTCAAAGAAAGTTATCGTTGGTCAGTGGAGGTCCTTGTAGGTCAGAGGAGGTCCTCATATGTGATAGGAGGTACTCGTAGGTCAGAGGAGGTCCTCATATGTGATAGGAGGTACTCGTAGGTCAGAGTAGGTGCTCGAAGGTCAGAGGAGGTGCTCGAAGGTCAGAGGAGGTACTCGTAGGTCAGAGGAGGTGCTCGAAGGTCAGAGGAGGTACTCGTAGGTCAGAGGAGGAGCTCGTAGGTCAGAGGAGGAGCTCGTACGTCAGAGGAGGAGCTCGTAGGTCAGAGGAGGAGCTCGTAGGTCAGAGGAGGTGCTCGTAGGTCAGAGGAGGAGCTCGTAGGTCAGAGGAGGTACTTGTAGGTCAGAGGAGGTGCTCGAAGGTCAGAGGAGGTGCTCGAAGGTCAGAGGAGGTACTCGAAGGTCAGAGGAGGTGCTCAAAGGTCAGAGGAGATCATCGTAGGTCAGAGGAGGTGCTCGCAGGTCAGAGGAGGTGCTCAAAGGTCAGAGGAGATCATCGTAGGTCAGAGGAGGTGCTCGTACGTCAGAGGAGGTGCTCGCAGGTCAGAGGAGGTCACAGGAACGTTGTCAGCACGCATGCCGCAGCTGGCACCTGCCGATTGGTCATCTTCGTGTCACGTGATCATCTGTGGAGAAGACCTTCATAGCTCATCGAATTCCTCAATCTCCTCCTTCTGCAGCAGTCTGAATACAGATTATGATTCCGTACAATTCCCCTATGTGTCCCGACTTTTACAACACCCTGTACAACAATACCCCTCCTTTCCGTCCTGAAACGACTTGCTTACACATACACGGCTTACACACACACACACACTAACACACTTACAACAACTGCTATTCACCACTAAGTGGTGATAACGTCACCATGGCACCTGTGCCAGGCTATGTGCACTTTAAGGCCACGTGAAGTGTCGAACGCCCGCTGGCAGGAGGTCATGGGGCAGACCCAGGTGCCACGGGTCGACTGACTGAGATGAGTGGCCGATGCACCAGCTGTGCCCCCTACTGTGCCAACCTGCTGTGTTTTAGCCACCCGGCACTCCGCTCGTTGTTGTGAGCGTCGCTCCTTTGCCCTCCATTGTTGTTGGAGGGCGACTGCCTCCAACTCCCCAGTAGCGTCCTTAATGAGCCTCCTCCACAGAGGCCAATCTTGACACTGCTGGTACCAGTCATCGGCAAGTCCACTCAGCTCCATATCCTCTTGTACCACACGATTCAATCTCTTTTGTAGCCCGTGCCGCACCCATTTAGCCCCATCGAACAAAAGCTGTTTGGGCATGCAGTGGCTGGGCATGCAGGCTACATGACCCAGCCAACGCAGCCTGATCTGCCAAAGGAGCTCTCTGATGGGACTTTGTCCAGATCTTTCAAAACATTTATTAGCTCCTCACACAATCCATCGTAGGCAGGCCAGCATGAATGATTCTAACCGGAGAAGATGTTCCATTAGGGAGGGGGTCCATTTTTCACAAGCATGGAGAAGAGAGGGCATGACTGTGGCCTAGTAGAGCCGACGCTTCCTTTGAAGTGACAGACCAGGTAGCTTCCGCTCAGCGTCACGTAACCGATTAAAAGATAAAGCCGCTCGACTGTCGGAATGAGACCTCTGCACACTGCCCAGGTAGAGAAACTTTTCCACTCTTTCCACAACTGCCCGGCAATATGGAGTTGAGGGGTGGAGTGTTTGATGATAAAAAAAAAATACCCAGGCAGGTGCTTAGTTTTGGAGGGGCTGATGGTAAGCCTCCATATCATCGTGGCACACTCCAGGTTTAAGCAGCAGCTCCTTCAACATCTACTCTGAGTGAGCAGCAATTACCAGATCATCAGCATACATGACATGGTTGACGAAAGGGGAGCCATCTTTCAACTGCATCCAGGCATCGATCAGCCTCCCATTGTATCTTTACCAGTGGAGATTCCTCTGGTACAGCCATGTCCTCTGGTACAGCCAAGCCGGAAGAACGAAAGAGTATGTACCCCTGCAGGGAAAAGCTCTGGTGTCATAGGCCTTGACCAGGTAAGTAAAGGAGAGATATAGGTCCTGTTGGATTTCAATACACTCCTGCTGTAGCAGACAGACATAAAATATTCCGCCTGTACAGGACCACCCTGGCCTGAAGCTACATTGGAGCCCCGCTACCCTCTCCTAAGCATGCCTGGCAAGGCGATGTTGAATCATCCTTGCCAGGATGTTTCCTGGCACACTGAGGAGGGAGATGCCCCTGTAGTTATCACAGTCTGTGTAGTGCCCTTTCTTCGGGGAAAGAACAGTGATCCAATCTCTAACCCTCTGGAACAGGTTTGTAGGTTTGCTGAGCATTCTTGTGAGTTCTTGGGGGAGGGCAAATCCCTCAACCTGGACAACATCATGGAGCAAAGTCGGGATGACCCTGCTGAGGATGCGGTGTCTCAAATATTGGAAGAAGGAGTCACCCCATGTTAGTGGCTGGCTGAAGTGCCATCTGTTGAGGAAGTACATAAGGCAATCCTGAGTATGAGACCAGGAAAAGCACCGGGCAGAGATGAGTTCCCAATCGAATTGCTGAAGGAGGGTGGCTTCTGTGTGTTGACTGCCTTATAAGACATCATAATAACTGTCTGGACCACTAAACTGGTTCTCCAGGGCATCTTTCCAATCCTCCAGCACAAGCTTAGCTAGGTATTTTTCACGTGGTTCAGTGGTAGTTGAATTGACGGTTGAGGTGTTACCAGCCCCTCGCACCCATTTAGAGCCCCCATTTGCCCGCGGCGGTGGCTGTGAGCGTGATGGTGGCTACACACACACAAAGATCCATCTTAGAATCTTAACAGACTGTTGGGGCAAGTGCTGTTAGCGAGCACCTATGAAGGCCAACATGGCCACCTTTGTCCCCCCAAAAGTGATGTTTGCACACCACAGCAGGTACTAATTTAAGGCTGAGTCGACCTAGGGGAAAACCATGACCCGGTAAGATAATCTTCAGTGGTGTTGGTAGCCGTGAAATAGAATCAAACTCGGGTCGCCGGTTTTGTAGCGCAGCGTGCTAATCACTACGCTACCGCTTCCCAAAACCAATACCCCCGCCATTCGCCACTAAGCGATGGTGACGTCACCATGGTGCCTGTGCCAGGCCGGGTGCACTTTGAGGCCACGTGAAGTGTCGAAGGCTCGCTGACAGGTCACGGGACAGACCCAGGTGCCATGGGTCGGCTGACTGAGATGACCGTTAGATGCACCACTGTACCAACTTTCTGTTTTTAGCCACCCGGCGCTCCACATGTTGCTGTGAGCATCACTCCTCTGCTGTCCGTTGTTGCTGAAGGGTGACTTCCTCCAGCTGCCCAGCAACGTCCTTCATAAGCCTCCTCCATAGAGGCCGATCTTGACACCGCTGGTACCAGTCATCGGCAAGTTCACTCAGCTCCACATCCTCCTGTACCACATCACTCCATCTATTCTCCAGCCCGTACCGTGCCCGTTTAGCCCTCCCTATGCAGCCAAACAAAAGCTATTTCGGCATGCGGTGGCTGGGCGTGCGGGCTATATGACCGAGCCAACTCAGCCTTGCCTGCCGGAGGAGCTCACCGATGGGAGTGTCCTGATCTTTCATGGATTTGTGAGCTCCTCACACAATCCAGCCTGGTTAAACCCAGAATGAATCGTAGGAATTCCAGCCGGAATCTTTATAACCGGCGAAGATGTTCCATTAGGGGGGGTCCACGTTTCACAAGCATAGAAAAGGGAGAGCATCACCGTGGCCGAGAAGACCTGAAGCTTCGTGTCGAGCGACAGACCAGGTAGCTTCCACACAGCATTGCACAGCCGATGAAAGGATATTTTCTGCCCGACTGATTCGGAGGGAGACCTCTGCTTTCACACGGAAGCTGGTCATAAGCACGCTGCCCAGGTATGGGAAACTCTCCACTCTCTCCACAACTGCTCCATCACCAATGGGGAGCTGAGGAGATGGAGTGTTTGGTGGCACAAAATACCCAGGCAGGTGCTTAGTGTTTGGTGGGGCTGATGATAAGACCCCACCTCTTAGTGTTACACTCCAGGTTCAGCAGCAGAATTTGCAACTCCTCCTCTGAGTGAGCAGCAATCACCAGATCATCAGAATACATATGGTTGACCAATAGGGAGCCATCCCTCGACCGCACCTGTGCATCGATCAGCCTCCTGTTGTATTTGTACCAGATGGAAATTCCTCCGGCACAGCCATGGAAAGCTTCTCGAACTACGTGGTCAAAGATGAGGTTAAATAATGTGGAAGCCAGAGGATATGCATGTCGCACCTCAATGTGAACAGGCAATGGCTCTGACTCCTGGCCATGTAGCTTTACACCGGCCTACCAACCATCATGAAGGCCCTTAATGATTGTGAGCAGAGAGTCAGGGATTCTGAACACACGAAGAACTGCCCACAGCCCTGGCCTGTTGATGGCATCATAGGCCTCGACCAGGGCAATAAAGCAGAGATGTAGGTTTTGTTTGAATTCTCGACACCTCTGCTGTAGCAGACGGACAGAGAATATGGTATCCCTGATCTAAAACACATTGGGGCTCTGCAAGCCTCTCCTTAGCATGCCTGGCAAAGCGATGTAGAATTTTCCGAGCCATAACTTTTCCCAGCACACTGAGAAGAGAGATACCCCTATCCTGCAGAACCTATAACCACCTCTACGGGGAGGATTTCCACACAACTCACACTTAACTTCAAATTTAGCAATCTTTGGAAGAACGTAATCAACCAGGTAAAGTGGTTACTATTGTGTTAGCCGACTCTCTGTGTTGCATTGCATTATATTTCTAAGTTTGCAAGGTTTGTGTTCTCATTCATTCGTACCTGATGACAATTGCTTGTGTTGCAATCGAAACGTCGTATTTTATTATTTAATTTATTTTCTATCTACGTGACTCTACCGAAAGAACCAAAGAGTAGGGATTCCTGCCGTCACGAAAGCTTCAAATCAAGTTTCGTTAAATAGTGATTTGTGATTTCGGGCTACTGAGGCAGATTCCATCTCCTCAGCAACTTGCCCTCACCACTCATCATTGCAGCGACGCACGGCTGATCGAATCTCCCAGCGAAGGCTGCTTGTAAGCCTCCTCATTCTTCAATGTTGGATTTTGTAGACAACAGGAGGGGGCCTGTCACTTTCTCTCAAACAGCCGAAACACCTCCTCCTTCAGCCAGGGTCTCTAGGGAGGTCCGGACCGTGCACCCAAAGCAGCCGTTGCAGCTGCATGAGCCACAGTCCTAAACCTCGCCCATTTCCCCTCAGCATCAGACGGAGGGGGGCACGATATGTTAACCCCAGCTGCAAGCGATGTTGAAATTCCTGCTAGCAACTATCCTCAGCTAGCTTCCCATGGCTGTAGCAGAGGAATCTCCATTGGTAGACCAGGCTACTGTAGGTTTGAATGGAATCCTAGATGAAAACCCACCACCGGAGTGGAAGAACGGCAGGCGCATCTTACAGATGACTAGTCGATGGTCAGTGGGCAGATCAGCACCACGGTAGGCCCTGGTGTCAAGGACATGGGCCCGCATCCGCTGGTCTGTAATAATATAGTCCAGCGGATGTTCTTGCTTGGACCTGGCGCGCATGCATGATGCTACGTGGATGCACAGAAGTC